TTTAACAATGCTGACACTTTTATTTGTAAAAAAACTAGGTTACTTTACATTTGAAGCACTACAAATAAGAGAACTTTGTAACCCTAGAACTTAAATGAAGAATCTTGTATCCGGCCACAACGCATACATGAAATATGACACATGACCCGTGAGTTGTAAAATCTCTTTCAATTTTGAAGGAGGTGGATCGTTTGCTTTTTAGTGTAATGGCTTTCTTTTATCACGATCCTTATCAAATTATTTTCAGTAATACAAGACCGTTGACATTTTCATTGGAAAGCGAAAACAAATAACACAAGTGTTTTCGCGTTGTTTGCAATTTTCACATGGAATTTTGGAATTCTCACATTTAAACGAAAGAACGAGTCTCAAGTAAAGACACATGAGCAAGAAAACTCAGCATTTCTCAAAAACAAATTAATAGGTCTTAGTTTTGAAAGCGTTACACTCTTTTATCTTTAAGAAGGCATATTTTTAATACCCACACTGGATCTACTTACTTTTCTGCCGACACTAGAGACATTCTAAATGAATATTCTCGTGTGCGTGTTCCGGCATAGTCAATCGAACGTTTGAAATTCTTACTGCTGTGGTCCCTTAAGCTCTGTTGCGAAATCAGAACCAAAAAGAATCGCAACGTCCTTCAACGAACCTCCTGTGATATCGCAGCCACAAAAAGGGCAGGTGTTTTTTTATTTTAAATATATATCAATAATATTAAAAGGGTGGATAACGCCATCCACTGGATAACGTACACTGTTTCTTTTTTATAAGAATATACTTTATAAGAACAACGAGGCTGAAGAATATTATAAGAGTAAACCTGAGGCTGAGATTTGAAAAAGAATATAATTTTTTGTGTTTAAAATTGGCAAATTCAACACAATTATATGTTTTCAACCGAACTGTAAAAAAGATTATTCCTTCATCCCTAGACTTCAAAACCAGCCAAAAGCAACAAAAACAGTCCTAGCCGTATTTTCGATCCAGTAGCATTTCTGCAAGATGTTATGTGTGTTATATCAAGCTTAATTGCTTGCAGTCTGGCTCTAAAATTACTTCAACGCCACCAAAGTCACGATAGAACAGATAATTCACTTTTCGTCGGCATAGTCCATTATTTATTCCTATAATCTAAGAATACTAACAAGAATCTTTTTAGCCTAAGTTCGGCAGAAAAATAAGAATATTCTGCCTGGGCCAGAAAAACAATGTTCTTGTAAAAAAAGTGTGTAGTGTGTTTTGTCAATATTTATCAGTTTATCTAAGAAATCACTTTATGTATCCACCATTGAGGCTTTGTTTAGATCTCAGATGTAAAAGTTCGACTCTTGTTTCAAGCGTTGCTCTAACGGAAGATGGAAGTGAACACAAGATGAAAGTTGCCCTCAAAGGCTAGACCCAATAACGATCATATAGGCTACCTAACTACTTGCGTGAATTGTTTTGTAAGTGTTTCAAAGTACAAAACAGGAAACTGTTAACTTACCAGAGTAAAACGGTATGTGCCTCGCCACGTACGGTACCCTCGCGTCCATCGCAGCAAAACTTGTAAACGAAATGACATTCTCGGGTCTGTCGACTGCAGAATGTAGCTCTCTTATTCCTGGTTGGGATCCAATCCGGAAAATGAAAGTTCCAACCCCTTGTTGGTGAAGCTGCCTAACTGAGTCTCGCAGGGGGAGGGCTCCTGTAACACGCGATTGTTTTCCTGCTATAAACAGAAGTACGACCTTAGGTACATTTTCCCGCGCGTTTCCAAAGATACGCATGGCTATTCCCAGCGCTATGTCGACCCTTCGTTCTCCTGCGAGGTATGGAGCCCTTGACAGGTCGGAAAAGAATCGGACGATAGTCCGTGAACTGTCGAACCGAACGACAGGCATTGCCCGACTTCCATACGGTACGAGGGCGACACGAGACTGACCAGGTTGAACGTTCAAGTACTTTGTCAGTGATCTGACGAAGGCTTTCTGAGTTCCGTATTCACGGTAAGGTACATCTGAAGAACAGTCGATAACGAACACAATGTCTGCGTTTAGAGTTGATATACCTGTAATGACTGGAACAAAAAAAGCAAAGTATTATAATAACAGCAACTGCATTGCAAATGAACGACTTTGTTGTTTTCCTGGAACCAGTTTGATACCATAGGCGCCAGTGATAATTACTACCCTTCGAGAACAGTACAGTAATCCTTAAAGGGGCACGATCGCGAGTATATATTCAGAAGGTAAAAACCTAAACGACATCTAAAAATAATAGTCTAATTTTGTTACAAATAACTATGATTCCTTGTTCATTAATTTGTTTGTCTGTCTGTTTCTTTGTTTGTTTGAGTTTGTACCATGTTCCCCTGCTGTCGGTTTCTTTCTTGTTGTTTTTGAATGTTCGCGTCTATATTTCTTTTATATATATTATCATACTTTCATTTTAGGATTTAAAGAAAACTAGTGTAAAAGAGGAAGGAGTTACACATAGTAAATGAATAGTTTATGTTAGACCTATTAATACTGACCTAAATAAAACTGGTGGAGTGTTTTAAATAATCTTCTAGTAGGCTTATTACCTAGAGATGAAGGAATGTCACTCCAAAAATAAAGTCCAAGAATAGTTGGGCAAATTTTCTTATATTTTTTTATTCTGAAAGATGTTGGATTTAGGTGCTGTAAGGACGCACTTCGAGTAGCGTAATAATGGTACTCAGATAATAGAGACAGGATGAGATTCGGAAAAGAAAAGTAATTGGATGCCTTATCAAAATCATTTATTTAAATTAGAGAGAGAAAAGGACCTAAGATCGACCCTTACCGGAGGTGTTCGCCACGTATCCAGCCACAGGCGCTATGTATCCAAAAAGACCCGAGAAAGACCTCGCAAAGAAAATATCAGTCGGTCTTATTGTAGCTTTTTGTAATTCGTTGACGTCCGTTTGCCCAATAGCCATGATATAGACCCAGGCTCCCAGCTGATGAAGTGGCCGAGCTGCATCTTGAATGGGTATGGAATCTACTAGGCTGCTCTGTCTTCCCGCTATTAGAAGGAAGACTGCCTTTGGCATGACTGATCGTGAATCTAATAGCAACGCAGCTGCAGTATCGAGAGCACTGTCGACCCTACGCTCGCCTCCAATGCTTGGAGCGTCGTTTATGCGCGTAAGAAACTCGGAATTAGAACTGTAGCCACCAAAGCCAAACACAACTGAGGCATTGGCACCATAAGCCACGAGGGCCGCACGTGATTTTCTGTTGAACACACCAAGGTGCAGTGCAATTCTTTGGACAAACCCCTTCTCCATTTTGTGGTCGTTTAAATCGACGCCCGATGAAGTGTCCATCAAGAACAAGATGTCCAATTGGAATGTGGAGTGTCCAAAGAGATCTTCAGAAAAAAATAAATAAAAATTAAAAAATCCAACGAAGTTCTGAACTTGTACATCTGTATAACATGGTAAGGGGTTTATAAGGCAAGGATAGAACTTCATACAGGAAATAAGAAAAAAGGGAAATGCTGTGAAAATCCCCTAACACTTGTCTTCTCACGATCCATTTGTGGAGCCATATGTTCGATAAGGTGCATTATATGAAATGACTCAGACACCATACAAAAGTGGAAAGAGTGACTTACTTACGACGAGCGATAGGCCCTTTGCACCATCTGGTCACATGGTAGGGAATTAATTATGCTGGAACGCAAGTTACACAATGGAACTTCCAAAACAAAGGAACTCGTACCAGTCCAGCCCGACTTTCCTTTGTTTTGAACGTCCCACTGTGTAACTTGCGTCCCAACATAATTAATTCCCTACCATGTGACCGGATCGTGCAAAGGGCCTATTACCTGATGATTAGGGTGTTGGACTTATATTAGCTCAGTCTGGGTTCTAGCAAATTGTTCTAGTGCGAAATATTTTTGACGTTGATACTGCCCAATCGAGAGCTACGTCTTACCAATGTATTGAAACAAATGTACTCACAATTATCACTCGTTATATATCTAGCCACGGGTCCGATACTCGCGGGTAAATCCCGATATGAAACCACCGAGAAGGCGTCTCTTGGTTCCACAATCATTGGACGCAGCCAGCCAACATAGGGGTTCTCTCCGATGGATAAGACATACAACCAGACCCCGCGATTTAACAAAGGACGGGCAGCAGCTTCTAAACTCCTAGTGTCCCGTATGTCCTTCGGCCTCCAAGGCGTCACAAGAATAGCCACCCAAGGGTGCAAACCTCGTGCGTCAGAAAATAGACTTCCCGCTGCTCTTAAGGCGCTGCTGATAGAAGGCTCACCGCCCAAATACGGAGCATTGGTCACTTTATTTCTGAATTCTGAATGTGAATTGTATCCGTCAAAGTTGAAGACCACCACAGGAGACTCTCCGGAGGTGACCAAGGACCCACGCGACTTGCCGGGTGAAACATTTAGGTACTCCGAGAGGATTCGGACAAAGCGCTTTGCTCGCCAGTACTGGAAAGGAGTTACGGTTGAAGAGGAGTCCAAGATAAAAGCGATGTCGGCAGCATAGCTGGGGACGTTTGGAGCTCCTAAAGAATATGAAAAGAAACAAAATATAAAGAGAAATAATTAGACACAAAAACAACCCAGCAAGGACCAACAGCTTATTGACAGGTTACCTTAAAGAAATATTGTGTTGGCCAGGAGAACTTTACTACAACGAATATTCGGAAGTATAGCAGCTCTCGTAGGCTTGTAATTCTATTTGTCATCAAAGTGTAGAAGTTGTTATTTTTTGGGGTTAGGGGGCATTGTTTCTGTCATTCGTTCTATTGTTCTATCAAAGGGTATCGAACCATTAATGAGAGACCCTGCGAGAGCTGCCACCTGAACCCAAATATTGCGACATCAAAGTGATTTGTTTAATGGAGATGTTTAAGGAATTCTCCAAATTCGTCAACTGAAATGTCGCAAAAATAGCATCCAATAATATCCGCATCTTCTAAAATCTTGAAATTCAGCTGTGGAGGGAATTTTCTGAGATAAGGTATTTGACGACTGACGACGAAATCTACTTACGCCATGATCCCATTATCCGGGAAGCGATGGCCGGAGCGCGCGCAAGTAGATCAGCATAGGATGCAATGGGAAAGGCGTCATTGGGTCTTTGAACAGCTGGATAGAAGTCGCGAATTGAATATCCGCCAGTGAGAATGGCAACAACAAATACTCTACCACCGTAAGATCGAACCTGTTGCGAGCTGACTTCTAGGGAGCGGGTGTCGGCTGTGCGAGTTTGCATGCCAGACGTCAGTAGAACGACAAACTTGGGAACAGAATCCTTCGATTTTGTCCTCAAGAGTTGGGCTGCAGATGCAAACGCTCTGTCGATGCGGCGGGAACCTTGAAGATGAGGCGCGTTATTTACAGCAGAGTCAAATGCAGCACGATCTTCGTATCCATCAAATGTGATTTCAAGCTGAGGGCGGTCGCTGTATGTGTAAAGAGCCGCGCGGCTTCTGTTGTTGGCGAGGTTTAGGAGACGAGCCATCAACTTGACGAAATTCTTTTCCAGTATGTAGTTGTTTGCTCCCACGTATCTTGAAGAGTCCATAAGAAATATCACGTCTGAATGAAAATAGGCTGGTTCATACTTGACTGTTGGTGAAGAGGACAAAAGAGTCTCTAAGTACGAAGACGCTCTAGCATTAGAGGATCTAAGATCACCCGTAGGGCCTTTTGGAATAAGTCAATATTTATTCCACCTACATTTGAAAGTTAAAAAAAGCTATCCAAGGGGTACTCCTAGAGAAACTGGATGGGGGTATGCGGCCCGCTTTCCAAAACCCATAACCTATTTATGACCAAAATTTGCGATTTTCCCTACCCTGTTTATGACCAGACCAAAACTTCGATACCGTATTTGTGACCTGACCCTTAAATCAATACCCTGCTTGAGATATGTCTCATAATTAGTTCTCTAGTTCAGACCAAATTTTAATTGCTGTAAACATAATTTATGAAGGGCTTTTGTTGATGGTCTTATCGATAATGATGAAAAAGTAGCTTCTTCTAAAAAAAAAATGCCCAATTCAAGACTAAAGTGCAAAAACCATACCCTATTTATCGATACTTTATTTATGACCAAAACGGCTGAAAAACCATACCCTTTAGAGCCGCACATACTTGTATGGCCCATATAAGGGAGTAGCCCACCGGGAGCTGTACTTACAAGCATTTGTAGTCAATCTCAATTGTCTCGCAATCAAAGACTGCCAAGACGTCAGCTCGTTGAAGGACGGCACTTGGAAAATGTCTTTGGGCCCGCGAACCATTTGCTTGAACATCAACGGAGTAAACTGAGACCCAATTCCAATGACATACAAATGAGCATCGAGAGTGCGCAATGGCATCATTGCGGATGACACACTACTCGCACCAGGACCTGTGTAGTAATTTCCTGCGGTCAACAAAATGACAATTCTTAACCCGACTCGTCCGGTTTTCTGGAACATCCCAGCGGCATGATCCAGCGCTTGGTCGATTCTTCGAGTTCCACCGAGAAATCGAGCGGTGTTGATCTTAAGGCTAAACTCGGCGTCGCTGCTATAACCAGAGAAACCAATTACGGTGTATGCCGAGCTACCATAAGTAGCGAAAGCCGCACGAGGTCCGAGTGGCGAGATGAGGAAGTAACGTGCCATCCTACGAACGAACTGTTTCTGCAGGTCAAACTGCTCACTGGAGACGCCCGCCGAAGTATCAACCAAGAAAATGATATCAGCATCAGGATGAATTGGTTCCGTCACTATAACATAAGAGAAAACAACAAAACAAACAAAGAATAATGTGATTAGAGTAAACATTGATAACCTTTAATTTCACAAAGATAAAGTTAGTGGGCAGAGAGGTGACGAGAATAAAGAAAGTAAAGCTTAACTCCCATAATCAACGTTCAGACAAATGTACGGCAAAAGTTGAAGAGAAGCAACACGTGAGCTTGGCAGGCGGTGCTGGTACCAACTTAACATCAGACCAGACCTTGCGGTAAGAAATTTATTCCCTCGTATTCGGACTATTCGTAGCACATTATGGACTCAAGCGTCCTGCAAACTACTCATGTTTCAAGACTCATGAATCAAAATACCTCAGTTCTCATTCAAAATACATGAATAACAGAACATTCTAAGCACTGAATTAGATTGGTTGTGCTGGGCCCCGTCTATGCCGGACGTTCACCTTTCAGTCAGATTCTGCGATACATTACAAGGATAGAGTCAATCTGATGAGCTTGATGGGTCTGAAAAATTTCCACTGATAACGTATTAGATCTGAGAAGCAGATGTCTGATCAGTAGCGAATTGCATTTTTATGCGCACGCAAAATCGTCATCGGGACAAGAACCAATCAAAGATGCTCTGTAAACGACGTCATCAGCCTGTGACTTTTTGACTCGAATCCTAGGCCCAAGTCCCTCCAGTGGGGAATGAGAACGAGCGTACTAGAACTGCCTGGTTTCTCAAACATTATCAAATTAGAA